TGCAGTTTAACTAATTGGTATATGTTATCTGGCTTCATGGACAGATAAAGATGGGCATCATCTGCATAGGAATGAAAATGTATGCTACACCTTCTAATGATACTGCCTAAGGGAAGCATGTATAATGTAAACAGAATTGGTCCTAGCACAGAACCCTGTGGAACTCCATAATTGACTTTAGTGTGTGAAGAGGACTCTCCATTTACATGAACAAATTGGAGTCTATTAGAGAGATATGATACAAACCCCTGCAGTGCAGTACCTGTAATACCTACAGTGTGCTCTTAATCGCTGTAAGAGAATATTATTGTTGACAGTATCGAACACTGCACTGAGCAGGACAAGCACAGAGAACAATAACAATGACTATGATGTACTATGATGAGATCTTAATTCCCACTGCTTTGTAATCCATTATTGAAAATGTAAATTATTTAATTATTATTATTACAGATGATCAGACAAAGAGGGTTTTCAGGGCCACTAATAAATGCTCAGCTTCTATGCCATATGTAAGATCCAGAATGTGATTAAAGTGGTGGGTGGGCTCTTTTCCATGTTAAGAGAAGGCATCTGAGTCTAATAATAGACTGAATTGAGGCTGTCATTTTCAGCATCTACATAAATGTTAAAATAAGCCATAATAATTATTTTATCTGAGCTGAGCACAAAATCAGATAAAAGTTAGATACCGTAGAAACTCTAAGTAAGGATCAGAATGATGATAAATAACAACAAATAAAACTTGTTTTTGAGTTTTCCAGCGGGATTACAAGGCTAATGAATGAAAGCTTGCTACTCCTCCTCCTTGGTCTGTGCTTCGAAGATTCTGACAGTATGACTCAGAAGTGTTGATTTATTTAAACCAACATAATCATCAATGACACTCCCCCTTTTTAATCAAAATATGCACTAAACATGAGTACATGAAAATTTAACTACAAAAAAATAGGATTTACGGATATGCCGGAGCTACAATGGGCCTTATAGGCCCTTAACCTCTTCTGTACGTCAACGTGAAACCAATAGTGGTTTATTAACCTGCAGGTGTGGCTGTCGCAGAAGATGGTACAGCTCTTTGGCCTCTTCAGAGCAACTTGGTAAGGACCTGATATCAATCAGCAACTATAAAGACAGAAACATTCAATATCTTAAAAAAAACCCCAACCAAACAACATTTGGACATGATAACTACATTAAATTGTTTTGGAAGATGAACCTCAAGCGAGAGTCCCGAAGAGTAATCCAGAGCTGGTGCAGGAGAATCTCTTAGATATCTTTGCAAACACTCATAAACCTGAAAACAGTCAAGTAATAAAAACAAATATCAAAACTACAGTGAATGAGGAAACATCTGACCTTAGATACTCTGAGGGAGGCATGCAGTCCTGTGATAAACAAAGTACACCCGTATGATTCAGCAGCTTGTAGAACCACCCCTTGATCTCCCTGCAAAGCCTACTGACACATTTTACCGTCTCTTAACTAAAACAAAGGAAATTGGCAGAGGACATTTAGGCTTTGCATTTACTTTAGATTACATTACCTGCATTTTGTATTTTATGTTATTTGTAAATAAATCTGGTGTAAGTCATCTTTCCTCATATAAGATAAGATGTAAGATTTTGGTGCATGATCCAAAGTACAGGGTGGGCCATTTATATGGATACACCGTAATAACATGGGAATGGTTGGTGATATTAAAGTCCTGTTTGTGGCACATTAATATACATCAGGGGGCAAACTCCTCAAGATGGGTGGTGACCATGGTGGCCATTTAGAAGTTGGCCATCTTGGATACAACTTTTGTTTTTTCGCTAGGAAGCGGGCCATGTGACACATCAAACTTATTGGTAATGTTACAAGAAAAACAATGGTGTGCTTGGTTTCAACGTAACTTTATTCTTTCATGAGTTATTCACAAGTTTCTCCTTGTTCACAGCTATTGACATGTCAAAGAGGTTAACACATCTGGTGAACACAGTAACCGGGTCATTGCAGCAGATTTCCATGCAAGACACCCTACGAGACCACCCATCTCCCATGCTACAGTTAGCAAACTGCTTGCTAAGTTTGGTGAAACTGGTTCAGTGTTGGATTTGCCAAAATGTGGACGCAAGAAAACTGTCACTAATGAAGAAACATCAGTGGCTGTCCTAGCTTCATTCAGCAAGAGCCCACAGCGTAGCACTCGCCGCATGTCACTGGAGAGTGGCATTAGTCGAACATCCCTTCGACTAACATCCCATATTAGCTACTCACAAATGGCACCCTTACAAACTCCAGCTAGTGCAGCATCTCAACGAGGATGACCCAGATCGGCGCACAGAATTTGCAGAATGGGCAAAACAAAAATTGGAACAGGACCCTCAGTTCACGCAGAAGATTTTGTTCAGTGATGAGGCAAACTTTTATGTGAATGGTGACGTTAACAAACAAAACCACCGCTATTGGTCTGACACTAACCCACATTGGATGGATCCCTCCAAGACTGTTGGAACAACAAAAGTGATGGTTTGAAGTGGTATATGGGGTACAACGATAGTGGGTCCATTCTTCATCAATGGAAACCTCAAGGCCACTGGATATTTGAAATTGCTACATGATGATGTGTTTCCCTCTTTATGCACTGAAGCTGGCACGTTCCCTGAGTTTTTCCAGCAAGATGGTGCACCACCACATTATGGGTGCCCGGTCCGAGCATTCCTAGATGAACAGTTTCCTGGAAAGTGGATTGGTCGTCGTGGGCCAGTTGAATGGCCCCCAAGGTCTCCTGATCTGACCCCCTTAGACTTTTATCTTTGGGGTCATCTGAAGGCAATTGTCTATGGTGTGAAGATACGAGATGTGCAGCACCTGAAACTACGGATACTGGATGCCTGTGCTGGCATTTCTCCTGCGGTGTTGCTATCAGTGTGTGAAGAGTGGGAGAAGAGGGTTGCATTGACAATCCAACACAATGGCAGCACATTGAACACATTTTCTAAGTGGTCAGAAACTTGTAAATAACTCATGAAAGAATGAAGTTACGTTGAAACCAAGCACACCATTGTTTTTCTTGTGACATTACCAATAAGTTTGATGTGTCACATGGCCCGCTTCCTATTGAAAAAACAAAAGTTGTATCCAAGATGGCCGACTTCTAAATGGCCACCATGGTCACCACCCATCTTGAGGAGTTTGCCCCCTCACATATACTAATGTGCCACAAACAGGACTTTAATATCACCAACCATTCCCATGTTATTACGGTGTATCCATATAAATGGCCCACCCTGTATAATGAGGAACGCTGAAAACTAACCGCTGAAACCAGGATTTTTAATTCTGTTTTTCAAGTTTTCAGACCTTGAGAAGTGACTGCAGCCAGGCGGCGTTAAGCAGACTGTGGAGGATCTCTGCTCCGTCGATGTCCTGACTCACAGACTGCCTCACCTCCTCTATGACGTCAGACAGGATCTGACGCAAACCTGCAGCACAAACTCAGACACGTTAGCAGAAGGCTGAATCTGTGGTTAACGTGTGTAAGCACATTATCATTAAACCATAAAACACTCCTACTGACCGTGTTCTCCCAACTCACAGTGCGGATTTAACACCTGAGCCTCCACCGCCTGCCTCATGGTTACAGAAAGCTTGACCTTTGACCCTGACCACCTGCTGCTGCTCGCCAGGACGGGCAGTAACCTGGAGAAAAATCAGTTTATTATAAGATTTGTGCAAAAGTATCCAGAAATATTAGATCAGACGATTCACAGAGCTGGAGCTTTTTAAGGTGGAGCTGATTGAGTTTTAACTCTTTATATTCTGCATATTATATCCCTTACATATATGGAAACCTTAAACCACTTAGTATTGATAATAATAACAATTATTATGATAATAATTATTGCAATAATTATACAACATGTGAAGTAAAAGCAGACTTTGTTCCTCAGAGCTACCGAGGACTCAGCAGGGTGAAGGAGAGGGTCTGCAGGTTTAACAGGTGGTCATTTCACAAAAGGCCAGTTTGAGCATTGCACGGTCTGATCTTAGGGTGAATTTTACCCCAACACCCTGATTTATAGAAGCACTCACACTTATTAATTATTCAGTCAATCAAGTGCATTTGATTAGCAGCATCTGGCTGACAGGATGACTTACTCTGATGTTTTAGGCTTCATTAGCTCTGAAGTTGCTGCAGCTTGTGGCGTTTGTCTAGTTTTGCATTGTGTTTTTGTGTCTTACTAGTCTGTACAAAACACCATCTGAGCCTTTGACTCTCACGTTTCTACTCAGATAATGAAACAGTTGCGTTGAAACCTCTATAAGCCTGTTTTTATTTAGTGCAAAAATATCAGGAGTGAATAAAAGAGCTCCATCAGCTCCATCTTATCCAGGGATTTTACAACTAGCAGCTACATCTGGTGTAATCTTTTTCACCGCAGTTAACCCTGGGAGGTCTAAATACTCCTAACCCTCAAGCCTAAGCTATAACAAAGTAGTTCTTTGCAAAAAGATGGCAAAATTTAGTTTCTTTCCAAAAGAAAAGTGCATTTTTTTTCCTTTTTTCAAAAACATGAAAGCTAAGGTGACAGTCAGACTTCACAGGGTTTAAAAAACAAATCAGGGGTTCAGTAATCCAGAGCATCCATGTCCTCCTGCATTAACTCCAAAGTTTGAGAACCGCTGCACAAAACAATAGCATGCGCCGATTTAAACGAGCTCAGATTTATTCTCTTGTCACTCGAGTCTCATGAAAACCGCTGACATCTGTCACGTCATGAGCGGCCGGGTCTTTGAAAAGATTTTAAAAAGCAAGAAACGTCACAAGGTCTGCTGGTACAGCTTTAAAAGATGAGCTTCACTTCTTAACATCCACCAGATCACCCACAGCTATTTTAGGGTTAGGGCTAAAAAGTCAAATATTCAGAAAGAAAAGAAAAGAAAAGAAAAGAAAAGAAAAGAAAAGAAAAGAAAAGAAAACAACAAATAGTTTATTTGAGTGAATCTGAAGTCTTGTTAAATGTTTATTGCTAAAACTGAGCTCTGGCACAGAAAAGAGGTTTGCATTAAAAAAAAAAAAGACAATACAGATGTACTAATAACACTACAACAACTCCAACTGCCTTCAGTTTACTGTGACTCCCCTGTATAGAGTCTACGATATCCCTAGCTCTCCAAGTGAAGTACATGAATATTTAGACAGTACCATCCATCAGGAAGGAAACACACCACATCAAACGTGGCTACAGTAAGATTTACGCCTTTCTTACCTAACCCAGATATGCATGAATTGGATGTCCTTTTACCTTCAGACTTGCCTTAACTCTTCCTGGCACAGCATTGATTCTTTTGTTGCCCAAAAAATAAGTCCAAGTTGCTGGAAACTTTTGGACCATGTTGAAATGACAGCATCAAACAGTTACTGCTGATTTGTTGGCTGCACATCCATGATGCCAATCTCCTCCTCTCCTCCAGTTTGAGATGATTTTGAGCTTTGTGACATGTTGTGTTATCCTGCTGGAAGCAGCCATCAGAATATGATAAACTGTGTCAAAAGGTTGATTCTGTTCATCTGGACATAGCGTTTTCAGTGGGAGAAACGTTTCCCCAACCTATATGATCAAGGAACTGACCTCCCAGCCCATTGTTCATTCAGTGGGCTGGTTTCAGTCATTATGCAATGAACTGTTTATAAGATTTTTGTTCTTTTGTTAGTTTTGTCACAGTTTTTCTGTCAGAGTTAGAGGTGGACATTAGATGGACATTAAATCAGCTCTGAACCGACATGGGTCACAGGTGATCTGGTGGATGTTAGAAGGTTAAAGATTTTAAATTTGTCACTTTTAAAAGGTCCGCAGATGCCCTACAACTGTACAGCAGCCTAACAACCAAAAACCATAATGTCAAAATTTCACAGAAGCACAAATACATGCAGCACCCTTTTCATTCCCCAAAACGTTCGATGATGCTGGTCTTTAGGTGATTTCATCGTCTACATGCATGACATTAAAACCTTTCTACACACATAATCAGGTTCAGACTTGATTTGTTCAAACTTTCAGTTAATTTGCAAAACATCTGTGAAATGTGCAGTTAAAACTTTTAGGACCACATTTATGAGCATGCAGAGGTGCAACCACAGCTCCAGCAGCCAGCGCGAACAGGATCAGTGCTTGAAGGCACACCTGACAGCAGCTGCCAATACAGAGTTTATAAATCATCTCAATATTGACACGAATAATAAAACCAAAGAATAATACTGAGAGGAGTTTTTTGCCTTTGTTTCACCAATATGTCTCTAAATACTCACATAGCCACTGTGAGGGTGAAGTTAGTGAAAGGGTGAGGGTAGACAGACGTGACAGAGCAAATAGCTGCTGGAAAAGTGGATATTTTTAAGGAATAAACCAGTAGGATCTCCTCAAGGAGTAAACACCTATCCGGGATGATCCCTGTGGCCTTCCTCCAATCCAAGCCCTCCTCTCTTCAAACAAATCAACCCTGGTGAAGCTTACCGCTACACCTGCAGCCTCGAGGACTCCTCGCGCCGTCACCCTCCTCCTGCCGGTGTCAGCTCCAGCACAGCAGCAGGTAAATGTTTATATGATGGGAAAATATTCCCAGGAGAGCAGACAGAGCGCTACGCTTTCATCGAGCTGAACGGGAGAGAGAGAGAGAGGGAGGGAGGGAGGGAGGGCTGTAATCCCTCCCGATCCCACTTAATCCCAGGCAAGTGAGCCGCCTGCCTCTGGCCACCGGAAACCTGTTCCTCCCTCACTGGCTGGCTGGTTGCTGCTGAGCTGCCAAATCTTCTTAACTTTTTCAGCTTCTATCAACACACACGGAGGAGGGCTGAAAGAAAAGGGAGAAGCAGTTACTTCAAGAGAAACGAGAGAGCTTATGAATGTTACATTGCACTTTTTCTACAATAAACCATCGCAAAAGTCAACAAAGGACACAGAGGTAGCAGGTTTTAAGGCTGAAAAAGACCTAAAAGAGTAATTAAAGAATCAGATAATCTTCCTCACCAGCTGGGGGAAGAAAAAAATCTGGCAGGAGTGAATATAATCTCCTGATTGGTAATCCAATTCCTACTGAAAATCAACAAGATCTCCCCTCCCTCCACATGAAAACAGGTCTAAGGCATCTCATTGTACCCAAAACACTGAGATTATTGTTTAAGGATCTGGATATGCCAGATGGATTTTCCACCTTCCAGCAGAAAAAAAAGAGCAGTGATGCCAGTGGGATTTATTGAGCCACCCTTGACATGCAACAAGCTCTTTTTGACCTGTAAAAAAGGAACATCTGTTATTAAAAGTGAAAATCTTCTCAAAATACCTTCCAACTATGACCTTTCCTACAAAAACAGTTATAGTGAGTAACTGTTTAAGAAGTACTGAAAAAAGACAGTTTAGACTCCAATTTGCTTAAGTGAAAGTACAAAAGTATATATTTTTATACTTGACAATGAAGTACCTAAAACAAAATACCTCATTAGACACATCCACAAGTATGAACCATAATTATTAATTTTTTAAAGTCTATCACATTGTTATTATTCTCCATCTACTTCCCTTGGATCAGATAATCTGCAAGTACAGATTATCATCCGCTGTTATACAGATGATACACCACTATACGTTCCCCTCGTTCAATATTATTGCTTGTCTATATGATGTTAATTACTTCCTTAACCAATCAGTTTCCAAAGTTGAGGTCCTTTCATTAAACTTGAAAGGAGAATCTGTCCTCGATCACAAGGAATTCCACCTGTACCCTGGGTGTGATGACCAAGGTCTCCAACTAAGAAATGTTGCACATTAAAATATTTTCCATCGCAAACAGAACATGCCTTCTTCTCATCGTGTTTGGACTGTTGAAAATTTCTTGAATTCCACCTCCGGCATCCAGCTCATTTAAAACTCAGTAACTTTACCAAAATCAAAGGATCAAATGCACCACACTCATTACACTGGATTAAACACAGTGAGACAGTATTGTGTACAAATATTTTGATTATTTATTTATTTTTTGTAGTAGTCTTGAGGAATAGTTCTTCAGGCTCCTTGAAGAACATTTGGCTTAAAAATAAAAGCTTTTCTGTTCTTTTTAGTCCAGTCCTTGTATCTGAACATTTTCAGAGGAATCTTTTTGTTTGTTTGTTTAAGCCCCTTAACACTACGAATCATTCAGGCATAAAAAAGGCACCTAGCTCAATAAATGAGCCAGTGTCATGTTTACACATAACAGACAACTTAGCAAAGAACCCAACTGTTCTTAAGGAGGAGAAACAGGGATAAAAGGCTGAAGTATGCCAAATTACATAAGAACTGGATTGAAACTCTGGTCTGATGGAGAGATATGTACAGTATGTACAAGGGAGGTCAGGAGAGAGGAACCACACAAGCACCATTAGATTTTGATCACCCGTGTAATACCATTTAAAAACATCTGATTGGTGACGGTTTCCTTCTTTAGCATGAAAATAATGCCAAACACACAAATATTGATTTTCAAGCTTGTTAAAATTGGATGAATTGTTTTTGCTCTTGTATGTTTACATGTTTTATTAAATCACTGCACCATTTTCTGAGCAACATACAACAAAAACTTAAATCAAAATACAAACAATGAAGGGTGGGTCAAGACTTTTGCACAGCACTATATAGAAAGAAATCTTTTATTATGAGCATGGACTTGATTCCACCTACAATACAAATTTACTGAGAACCTCCAAAATTTTCCCACAGTTAGCAGAGGACCTAAGCCCACCATCTACTTTCAAATCACTCCTTAAAATGTACTTTTCCTTGTTTTGTGTTTGTAATTCCTTATTTTTCTCTGTGAGGACAACTTGACAGTTACCTGTTTGACAGTGGAGGATGTAAGATTGTGAATTGCAATTTCAAGTTAAAAAAATCTCAAACATGTATATGGTTATTTGAGATTGTACATACAAGTGACAGTATTTTACAATCAGTTCTGTAGGATTGTCATTTTTTTCTTGTGTTCAGATTTTTTGTTACAAATTTTTAAATAAAATATAAATATTGCAATTACTGAGAATATATTTTTTATTATATTATCATTGAGTATATATGCAGGGTTGCTCCTCTATATTTTTCATCTCATTATGTGTGAAGTTGACCACTTTGTACAAAAGTTAAAAAAAAAAAGATGCAACAGCAGGCATACGGATAAATTCCAGTTTAAGGAAAAGGCTGAAAATGACACGCATTTTGTTTTACTAAATTATATGTGCAATTTAAAACTGATTTTAAAAAAATACAACTAAAATGTATATTCAATGAAATGTTATATATTTGATGTGGAACATGACTATCATTATTATTCCAATACAGTATCCAAATTTTTGCTGGGTTACTTTTAACATTCACATGTATGTGAAAATAAATACGTTGCCAAGTTTAGCAAAAAGAAAAGTTTACATTTTAGCAGCCTGTGGTGCCTGTAACAGGAGAGCTTTTTTTTTTTATTAATCATGAATTCTTCACAAAATTTTATACCCCATCTCACAAGATGATAAAGTTGCAGAAGCAATCATGAGAGCTAGTATGCAACAGACGTAACTTTTGCCAGTGATGCACAGCGTGTGAATGCTTGACTGTGGCTGACCCATCAACACGTTACAAAAAGCATGAGATTCAGGCTTTTCATTGGGACTTAAATATAATTATTTTTTAAATTTTCAAATTTAATAAAAAATAAATAAATTACCATTTCAGTACTTTAGACTGTACAGTGTGATATAACTTATAAAAAACATAAAATTTTCTATTTATATTTGCACACAGGAAGCCCATATGATTTTATTTTAAATAAGAGAACTGGATTATTGCATTTTAATTAAAAATTTCATTTAAAAAAAAATATATACACTCAAATTTGGAAAACTTTACCTTGTAGAATAGCATTTTCATTTACAAGTTTTCAATCACTAGCTGTTTTTCCACCACAGCACCCAGGTCCTCTCGTAGGGACTCGAGCCAGAAATGTCTTGCAGAAGAATTCATTCACCTCCCACAAAAGTCACTGTAGCTGAGTCGAGTAGCCTGATTGCAGCAACATCTCCACGATAAGTGGGTGCGAAGGAAGGAAGGAAGGAAGGAAGGAAGGAAGACAGACAATGGAGGCAAAACACCTAAGTGGATTTCCACCAAAATGATTTTATTGCCCTTTGTCATCAATTAAAAGTACAACACGTTTGACATTGTGCAAAAGACACAGGTGGGCCCGTTGACAAAACAGCCGTTGGTGCAGTTGGTTAACCAGCTGCAGGGTTTAAAACATCAGCGCTTCCTTCAGTTTACACTTAGCACAAAAACACTCCACTCAGTCTGGACTAAATAAAGTCAGTCAGTGTGTGAACAACCACTACATCAGTAATCTGGTTTCAAAGTCAGCCGCGTCACTGTCAGAAAAAACTGTTTTCATAGGCAGCAGTGAATCATGTCAGCCTTCAAATTTAAGCTGAATAAAATATACAAGAGATGATGCTGAAGAACACCCGAGGGCGCCTTCTCTAGTCAGTGAAATAAGAACAGAGCCTGGCTTAAACATCAAATAAATGTTAAACCCAAAGGCTAAAGTGTGTAGGATGCATTCTAGGGATGAACTCTGTGAACTCGAAAAAAAAGACAATACTGCTTCATTTCCACGAGGATCGAGCACATTTGGGCTCATGAACACAGACGGAAGATTATAAAATGATTTTTACTGCACGTGTGAGGACCACACTTCACCTCAGATACAAGCAGCAACATCATCACATATCAGTTTAGGTTCAACAGTATAAGAAGTTCCCATGAGCAGGTTTAAATTTTACAACCTCTGACAAACAATTTTCTGCTTGATTTTCGAATATCCCGCAGGGCGAGAGCAGCGGCTTTACCTCTGATCTGCTGCTATTTCTATTGTCGAAACTATCAGACCAGGGCATGAACAGCAACAAAAGGAAGAATCCCCTCTTAATCCCTTTTTAAAGTGGCATGTGTGACGCAGATCACAAGTAAGCAACAGTGCCTGATGGTTGGGGGTGGGGGGCAGCATTAGCAGATGGTGTGAAGCTTTGAACTCGATTATATCTATAACAGCAACGTTAAAGCGGCCTGCTTCTCGGCTCAGACATCACTCGCAAAAGGCAAAATACACATTTCTGTCCTTCTTGTGATTAAATCAGAATTCACATTGGACCGCTTGCATTGATTATTTTGCAGATCAGTGAGGTTTAGACCTTTAGCTGGTGGTTAGTTTCCTTCCTTGGCTGTGTGGCCTGCCTCCACATGATTAATAGAAACACTGTCAGGATATTTGCAGCTTCCTGCAGCATACAAATCAAACGTCTCTGCATACTGCTAAAGGATGATTTCTACAAACAATCCAGCAAAATGAGTTTCTGCAAACATTTCAAACAAGAAATGAACAAAGGAGATGCTAAATATGTCTTCACATTAGGGAAAGGTTACAGACACTGCTGATTTGCATAAAGCTAAAAAGTGTAACCACAGAGCGAGGAAGTGGATGGCTAGTTGCTCAAAATGAAGCAGTGATGAACGAGAAAGCTTCTCAGGTGGTAAGAAAGAGTGGAAACAAACCGTCAGGTAGCGTTAATACAATATAAGTGAATTGTACAACGTTACTGTCATTGTACTGTAAAAAAACAAAACAAAACTTTTATCTCTAAAAAGCAGAAGGAATTTTCAGCTTTTTTGGGAATAACATTTAAAAAAAAAAAAAAAAACACATCTTGTCCTCAACTTCTAAGATTAAAGATTCGAATTAGTGAGACTAATAAATAAGACTGTAATAAAGAGCAACACAGGTTCTCCAAAAGCGTCAAATTTCCACTTCCTACCACCACCTTGCAGAGCTGTAAGACTGTCCTGCGAACACTGGGCTCAGAAATACAAACCAAAGACACCTCCTGCAAAACGCTGTCAATGAAAAGACATTTCTGTGGACTGAATAATGAATAGCTCATCTTAAAAAAAAAACAAAAGAAAACATTAAATACATATTTTTCCTCTGGCCTGCAGTGCTGGTTGTTTTTTTTATTGTTTCCTCTAAAGGTATAAGTCTTATCTTTAATCTTATGAACATAAAACAAACCAGGTGGCACTGTACACCTTGTGGTGCTCAAGGCATTAAGAAGTCTTGAAAACTCATCAATTTCTAGACTACAGGAACTATGTTTGTTCTTCCAACCACCACTGCTCCCAGTACACCTGGAAATGGGTCCCTGTGCAGAAAGAAGTATCATATGACAGGACAAACATGGACGGCAGCCGCTTGGTCAAAGAAAATAGTTCCACCATTTTACTAAAATACCCAGATCATGATTTCTAAAATTAGACCTCATTTCTGAAGCCTCGTTAATGGTAACAGAACCTGCTGTGTAGACGATTAAAGTGACGGCTCTGTAACCAGTAACATGCTGGTGTTAGCAGAAGCAGGAAGTAAATTAAGCTTTTTCCAGAAAGTCTTTTCAGGATCTGTTTTGATGCTATGTCAGAAAATTAGTTCAGGTATTTGCAGATCACAGATAGGTAAAGACCCACATGATCACAAATGTGCTTCTGTAATTGAGCCAAAGACTCCAAAGTGGTGGTGAAGTCGCATTTGATTTTACCTTAGATACCACTTTTAAATGGCATGAAAAGCAACTAAATCCTCATCAAGTCAGCAGCTGTTGTGAGTGACAGTGATGTGAGGAGAGATGAGGTGAAACAAAAAGTTTTTCAGTCTTACTTACAAGATATTTAAACGCATTTGCTTTGCTGCTTTGAGCACAAGTTGAGCATCTCTACAGCTGATATCCCCCAAAAAACAGACACCTAATAATGTATGCACTAAAGGCCAGAGGAAGGATACGCATTTTAAATGTAACAGTCTGAGGTTATGTTCAGAGGACGTGTGAGTACGCTTTCAAGTCAACAATCCGGCTGAAGGTTGCGCTTCAAATGAAGAAATAAAAAAAAAATCTTTATAAGCAACTGTTTAGATTCAGGTCCGTTCACTGATGCTGTAACACGTTCTTTCTTTAAATACAGTATGAAAATGGGCAGTCAGCTTGCCCAGATAAATCCTCTCCAAAGAAACTTTGAACAAGTGTCAGTTTTACTTGCAAAAAAACCCCAAAAAAAACCCAAAAAAAAAAAAACCTTCCTTCAGGACCGGCTCCCCCCCTGCAGTGCCTAACAGCCACTAACCGTAGGCATCCATATCAGATTATAAAGTTTATGAATCCACAGTTTATAGAGTTACTTCCTCTTCATGTAGCTTTCACTGAAAATAATTCATGTTTCCAGATTTACTGTTTTTGTTTTTTTTAAGATTAAAAATTTTAAGGAGAAAAAATGAGGTCCGGTATCCCACAGACAAACTTTGCACTCCCTCCCTGCTAAAGGTGATTTAATAACAGTCATCTTTATTCCCCAACTCCACCCACATGGATGGTGCGACTGTGCTCGCGTCTGTCATCACGGCCACATTTCTACCTTCATCACCTGTGGATGATGAGTGTTTCAGGGAGGGAGGGTCTGTGACGGGATGTGTCCAAGCAGCATTCGACGACCTGTTCTTATGACCCCTCCTCCTCCCTGTCAGTCATCCTCATGCCCGGCTACTGGAGCTGAGAGGAGGGGAGTGGAAAATCAGCAGCATGAAGGTCACCGAGGACTTAGCAGCAGTCTCGTCTTAAGTAACCTTCTCATGCTGGATCTGGTAGTAGCAGGCCTGCAGGGGGAGAGATACCTGAGTGACCTAAAAGTTTTGAAACGCTTGCAGACAAAGCAGCGTGAGCTGCATGTGCGTTACCTTGAGGGTGGTGAACATAATGCCGTGTTCTCCATGCTGGACGCAGGGGTCCATCAGGTCTTCGATCAGACTGACCTCAGAACCAAGGTTCCTGATACTGAAGAGAGAAAGAAAAAAAAAAAAAGCCAACCTTTGAGTCAGATCTGCTCCTTGCTCGTCATGTCCAGTTTCTCGTATTGTACCAAGGCTGTGACGCTAAAAAGAGTCCACCATGAGGTGCCATATGTGGACCTAGCAAATGGTAGCCACTAGCTCTTCTGCTCTGCCTCATTTTCACTCATTTCAGCCACTGAGCTGAACCTCTTGACCATGTTTGATGATGGATTATCTGACAAATATAAAATGACTCACTCTGTGCTAAAAGACAATCCAAGACATTTGTTTCTCATGTGTATGTGTGTACTGCATGGGGATATGCTCCACACTCGCATACCACAAAGTCATTAGGTACACCTTCCTAGTTCAAGGTTTGTCCCTCTTCTTGGTTCAGAGCTTCTTTCACTCTTCATGGCATAGATTCAACAAGGTGCTGGAAACATTGCTTAGAGATTTTGGTCCTGACACATTGATATGAGGCAGTAAGGCCAAATTCTGACTGTAATGTTGGTGAAACCAAGACTCATCAGACCAGATGATGTTTTTCCAGTCTTCTATTGTCCAATTTTGGTGAGACTGAGGGATTTGTAGCCAAAGTTTCCTGTTAGTAGCTGAGAGGAGTGGCACCTGGTGTGGTTGTAACAAGTTGTTAATTGAGTTACTGTTGCTTTACTATCAGTTTGAAGGAGTCTGGCATCAGCAAGACATTTTCACTGCTGCTCAATGGATTATTTTCTTTTTCAGACCTCTAGAGACCAAAATATGTGTTGGGGAAAATCTAGATCAGCAGTTTCTGAAATGCTCAGAATAACCACCATGCCACATAAAATCACTGAAGTGATCCTTCTTCCTTATTCTGCTGCTCAGTTTGAACTCGAGCACGTCTCCATACTTAAAAGCATGCGACTGGCTGATTAGATATTTGCATTAATGAGCAGTTGATCAGGTGTGCCTAATGAAGTGGCCAATGAGTGTACATTTTCTCATGTTTACAGTGCAAACTCCGTTCTGTGAAGCATGTCACTGATCTGCTACAACTGTCAAGTCATTTGAGAGCAGCTGGGATGGGTGTAGGTCTTTGAATAAGTTGAACAGCAGTATTATTGACTAAAATTGCCTTCCCCACCATCACGTAGAACAACCTCCACATTTAAGAAGCTGAAACCTAAAACTTTTGGTTATGCTTACAAAAATAGCAAAAGCCCTTGCAGTTTTTTTTAAGCCATTCTCCACTGCTTGTGTTTCTGCCCACACCTCATTATCGCCATTTATTTCTGTAAATATGTGCATTACTGTGCTTTTTCTGTGGTTCAATGCTCACCGCGCTCGTAGTACTACATAGAGGAAGACAGGGAAGAGGTCGTCCATGGACCACAGGAAGTCCTGCTTCAGAAGCGCCTGGACCTCCTGTGTGATCTCCTCGAAAGTGAGCTGGATCACCTGCAGCTTGTCTGATGGCGTGAAAGTTGTGCTGCAAAAGAAAAGAGGACTTCTAGATGAAGGATGAAGGAACCAACCACTGCCCCTCCCCTCTGCTGTATTTTCTTTAAAAGTATTAGAAGCCGTTGAATGGAGCCATACCTGATCTGCTGTAGTGTTTCCACTGCAGAAGCAAAGCAGGCGTCTTTGGTGCTGGAGATGACCTGGACAAGTCGCACAGCAGAACAAACACGCTTTACATCTTTATAACAATAATGGATGCAAACAACATCCCCTCACCCCCTTTGTCTTTAAAAAAGTACTACAGAAATAAAATTCTTAACAGTAAGGAGACTTAAAAGACTGAACTGAGAGATCACTATCAGTTTAAACCCATCATAAAAATGAATTAAACAGGATCTTCTACCTTTGAGATGAATTGTCTTTAACAGTGTCATGTGTAAATTAGCAAATATTTAACTTAAGATTAAGATTAAGTAAAAAGAAAAAAATCCAAAACAAAACAAGTTAAAGGAAATTAACAAACACAATCAATGTCAGCACAGCCCCAAAACATCTGAGCTAGTTTTGGAAAATATGAACAAAATGATACCAGTTGCTTCTCGCCAGGCGCAGGCAAAGATGCTGGGATGGAAACAGGCCAAAACTTTCTGACAGGAGGAAAACAGAAGAAGAAGTAGTAGTAGTATTTATGGATCTGCATAAAATAAAAACAAACTCTTCTACAGCCGCATGTTCAGCTCTGACGTACTGCTGGACGCCCAGGAAGGCGAGCAGGGCGAGGTCAGGCTGCTTGTTGAGGCGCAGGACGCACTCCCAGTACACGTCGTCCTCTCTCTCCTTGTCCAGGGCGTAGAGGGTGAAGAGCGGCGGGTAGAGACGGGGCAGAAGGACAGGAAGCAGCAGAGCCGAGCTGCTCACCACGCGGCTGAAACACAAACACACGGAGGAAGTCGTTAATAACCAGAGCCCGCTCACCGGAGATATGGCAGCAGCGGGACGTGGATCCATCCTTACGCAGGTTTGGGAGACTCCGGCAGGGCATCAGTAGAATTGGGCTCATTCTTCTCCTGCAGGTCGGTGGTCGGCTCTGGGATTAGACCGCCCTCTTCTGGCAGGTCTGGGAATAAAAATCTGAACCAAAGCAAAGAAAAACATACAATAAAATCGTGTAGAGTCATCTAGAGAAATGTTTATTTGCCTTTGAAATCAATAAGCTCATCTCACAGTTCCCCCTCCTCTCCGCATTACTGACAGCCTGAGGACATTATGAGGCTATCTTGGCTGTTATGCAGACATGAAGGACATTGGATCCATTCACAGTGACTACCTGACAATCAGGAAGATGCGGTTGAGGTAAGATTTAATCTCGCTGACGGCCTGATGCAGGAGCCGACGGTTGGCGCCAACACCCACGTAGGTCATCCTGTAGACCGCCACCAGGGTCTCCAGCAGCTGACCCAGAGGGTGCAGCGGAGTGTCACACGCCTGGAGGACAAAGGATCATTTTGTCAATGCTGTGCCTGCTCAGGGGTCTCATCGATAACCCTCCCTCTAATGCTCTGCAACACTCTGATCAGGTAAACAAGATGACCAGAATTTTTATTCAGCGTTAATGATTTTGAGCTTTAGCTGTTAAAATTATATGTGTAGACATATTCATTTAGGACTTTCAGTTTTATGTTGTTATGGTCGTATTTCTCATTATTGTTTGAATTATTACAAACCAGTCAGTGAACGCTCTAATCAAGAAAAAAAGAAAAAAAAAATCAATCAGCACAATAATCATTAGTTGCAGCCAGTTAAAGAGCTCCAATATACTCTAAAAACCTGTTTGCAGGTTAGTATATCAGCAGTTGTTATTGCCACCGGTACTTTTACTTCGTCGACTCGGTGAACCCACCTTGATTAGGTAGAGGCGGATGGCGTTGTATCTGTCCATGGTGATCGGCCCTACGTGCTGCGGGATGACTTCCAGACTCTCCAGCGTTTTGTTGTGAGATCGAGACAAAACATCCGGACTGGGATGCACAAACATTGGGAATTTTAGATTCGAGATGTTTTTACTTCAACGAGAAGTTTTATGACCAATAAGAAGGCGTCAGGTGGTACCTGTCCAGGATGTGTCGCCGGCTGGTGGTGAGGGCCACAGCAATGTTCTCCCAGGCCTTTTCGGGCTCCCCTCGGCCCGGAGCCTCACAGCCCAGCTGACTCCAACACTCCTCGAAAACCGCCGGCCACTTATCCTCGGCACACACACACAGATGACCCAGCTTCCTGCCGCATCAACAAACAATATGAAGTATATAGAGACAAATTAAAGTTTGCTTTAACAAACATGAGACCACTCATGAGCTTACATGGCTTGGGTCTTGTCCTTGTCGGTGTCGAACAGGTGTGGTTTAAAGTAGGAGCCCGTCACTTTGAGACCAGAGCCCCATTCGCCATTGAAGGAGCCCTCCAGGTAGTCACCATTGGGCATGGTCAGCACACCCTGACGGAGAGCCAGGACATTTAATAACAAGTACCTGCACTCGGTATTAGATTTAGAAGAAAAAATTTAAAGTATTCATATTTGGTTACCTTTCCACTGAGGGTCCAGTCGTCTGAGAATTCGCCCTCGTACGTCGTGTCGTCCTCTGACAGAAGGACACCAGTGCCCTGAAAGAGTCATCATCTCCCATTTTAAACACACATTTATTATTATTATTATTTTAATAAATATACATATATACGTATACACACACA